TGTCGGACTGATTTCAGGTGGGATCTGGTGTCCAACACATGTATCTCAGTTTGCCTAAAAATTATTTGTCGGACTGATTTCAGGTGGGATCTGGTGTCCAACACATGTATCTCTGCTTGCATAGAAAGTGTTTGTCTAACTGGTTTTAGGCGGCAGCTGGTGTCCAACACATGTATCTCTGCTTGCGTAGAAAGTGTTTGTCCAACTGGTATTAGGCGGCATCTAGTGTCCAACACATGTATCTCAGCTTGCCTAAAAAGTGTTTGTCGGACTGGTTTCAGGCGGCAGCTGGTGTCCAACACATGTATCTCTGCTTGCAGAGAAAGTGTTTGTCCAACTGGTTTCAGGAGGGATCTAGTGTCCAACACATGTATCTCAGCTTGCGTAGAAAGTGTTTGTCCAACTGGTTTTAGGCGGCATCTAGTATCCAACTCATGTATCTCAGCTTGCGTAGAAAGTGTTTGTCCAACTGGTTTCAGGAGGGATCTGGTGTCCAACACATGTGTCTCAGCTTCCCTACAAAGTGTTTGAGGGACTGGCTTTAACTGATAGCTGGTTTCCTGTGCGTCTAGCTCTGTTTCCATTGCTGCAGACTGGTGATCGACTGTTTCTTGGTGATCTTCTGACTCTGTCTGAGTTTCAACTGAACCCATTGGACTCTTTCTTGGTCTTCTCACGGTGAGTATTTTTTTCATCAAATCTTTCTGATGTTTCAGTTCAGAAGTTAGTTTCTTATTTATTGCAGACATCTCATCAAGTTGTTTCATGAGGTACTTCTGTACTGCAATATGCTCCAGTTCAAATTCCATCAATTTGGAAAAACACTCACACTTTGGATGACTGGTTGCCTTTTCAGAAGAGTAGGGTGAAACCATTGAAACATTTTGGGGTCCAATGTTCTCAGCGAAAAAGCTGATATCTACACAAGGCTCTGAGTTGGGGAGTGTTTTCCAAAATGTCCTCTGTCGGCTGCTGGGCAAAGCTGCCTGATGACTCTGTTGTTCTGCCAGAGGACAATTATTGATGTCACAGTTTTCAGCAAAAATTGAAAGATCAATGCAAGCATCTTCCTCTGGGAAGGATTTCCACAACAGTGGGGTTTTCTTGACGCGCTTACCCTTAGAAAGTTGTTTGTCCCCTTTTCGATTGGTTTTCTTCAGAGAGCTGGAGATGTTTTGCTCTTCGGCGTTTGGCTGTGTGGTGGGAATCGCCGTGTTGCCAGGATAGCTTTCCTCTTTCAAGGAAGCGTCTTCCTCACGTTCTTGTGCAACCATTGAAACATTTTTTGTTCCAATGATCTCAGAGAAAAAGCTGACATCTACACAAGGCTCTGAGTTGGGCAGCATTTTCCAAAATGTCCTCTGACCACTGCTGGGCAAAGCTGCCTGATGACTCTGTTGATCTACCAGAGGACAATTACTGATTCCACCGTTTTCAGCAAAAAACGACAGATCAATGCAAGCATCTTCCTCTGGGAAGGATTTCCACAACAGTGGGGTTTTCTTGACACGCTTACTTTTAGAAAGCTGTTTGTCCCCTTTATGATTGACATTCTTCAGTGAGCTGGAGATGTTTTGCTCTTCGGCGTTTGGCTGTGTGGTAGGAATCGCCGTGTTGCCAGGATAGATTTCCTCTTTCAAGGAAGCGTCTTCCTCACGTTCTTGTGAAACCATTGAAACATTTTTTGTTCCAATGATCTCAGTGAAAAAGCTGACATCTACGCAGGGCTCTGAGTTGGGCAGCGTTTTCCAAAATGTCCTCTGACCGCTGCTGGGCAAAGCTGCCTGATGACTTTGTTGTTCTGCCAGAGGACAATTATTGATGTCACCGTTTTCAGCAAAAATTGAAAGATCAATGCAAGCACCTTCCTCTGGGAAGGATTTCCACAACAGTGGGGTTTTCTTGATGCGCTTACTCTTAGAAAGCTGTTTGTCCCCTTTATGATTGACTTTCTTCAGAGAGCTGGAGATGTTTTGCTCTTCGGCGTTTGGCTGTGTGGTAGGAATTGCCGTGTTGTAAGGATAGCTTTCCTCTTTCAAGGAAGCGCCTTCCTCATGTTCTTGTGAAACCATTGAAACATTTTTTGTTCCAATGATCTCAGAGAAAAAGCTGACATCTACCCGAGGCTCTGAGTTGGGGAGTGTTTTCCAAAATGTCCTCTGTCGGCTGCTGGGCAAAGCTGCCTGATGACTTTGTTGTTCTGCCAGAGGACCATCACTGATGTCACCAGTAAAACATGAAAGATCAATGCAAGCATCTTCCTCAGGGAAGGATTTCCACAACAGTGGGGTTTTCTTGACACGGTTACTCTTAGAAAGCTGTTTTTCCCCTTTTTGACTGACTTTCTTCAGAGAGCTGGAGATGTTTTGCTCTTCGGCGTTTGGCTGTGTGGTAGGAATCGCTGTGCTGCCAGGATAGCTTTCCTCTTTCAAGGAAAAGTCTTCCTCACGTTCCTGTGAAACCATTGAAACATTTTGGGGTCCAATGATCTCAGTGAAAAAGCTGACATCTACGCAGGGCTCTGAGTTGGGGAGCATTTTCCAAAATGACCTCTGACCGCTGCTGGGCAAAGCTGCCTGATGACTTTGTTGATCTACCTGAGGACCATTATTGATGTCACCGGTAAAAAACGTAAGATCAATGCAAGCATCTTCCTCAGGGAAGGATTTCCACAACAGTGGGGTCTTCTTGTTGCGCTTACTCTTAGAAAGCTGTTTGTCCCCTTTTTCATCCACTGTCTTCATTGTGTTGTTGATCGATTCACTTTCACCCATCATTGAAGAGTCCTGCAGTTTGATACTCTCAGCAGACTTCTTCATCTCCTCGGCTGCGTGCAGCTCCCACCACACTGCAAATGACATCTTCTTCTTCTTACGCTTGGGTGGCTTGGGTGGTTGTAACTCCCTTTCCACTATGTTGTCGGATGCGACCTCTTCGAATCTCGGCTGGTTGGACTGCATTGTATTCTTTTGTTGATTCGGGTTGTAATCTAAAATCACTTTTACTAGAATCTCAGTAAAAATTTCAAGTTAAGTTTGATGTCAATCTCCTAAAGAAATGAGCACCAAACAAAGTTGAAGATCTTACTGTGAACTGCTAAACGAACTCTCAAGACAAATGTATCACCAACGGCTGCTAACAGGTTGTGACATCAGTAGATCGATGTGAGGAACTTTTATAATCGCTGGTGATGTCAGAATTCTGCCTTTGGAGTCACATTGTGATGTCATAGTTTCAGAGAGTGTCAGTGGGCTTCTAAACTGTCACTGGTTGCCATAGTTATCAGTGACTATGGTAACTTCAGCAGGTGAGGCAGGTGAGGCAGAGCCTCACATGTCATAATGGAAAAATATGATAAAGTAATTTATATTGCTATTTCCCACTGCCAACTTAATAATATATTTTAAAAAGCTTTCTGAATAAAATTCCCATCTCACCCACCGAGCTCAGAGGTTCTTATTCTCTGAGCTCGGGTCCTCTACCAGAGGCCTGGGAGCTTGAGGGTCCTGCAGTATCTTGGCTGTGCCAAGGACTCACATTTCTGGACTGAGATGTGATGTTGTTCCTGGGATCTGTTGTAGCCACTGCTCCAGTTTGGGGGTTACTGCACCGAGGGCCCGATGACCACAGGCACCACTGTGGTCTTCACCTTCCAGGCCCTCTCCAGTTCCTCCCTGAGGCCCTGGTATTTCTCCAGTTTCTCCTTTTTCCTGATGTTGCAATCACTTGGTATTGCTACATCTACCACAACGGCTTTCCTCTGTTGTTTATCCACTACGACAATGTCTGATTGGTTCATCATTACCATTTATATATATATATATATATATATATATATATATATATATATATATATATATATATATATATATATATATATATATATATATATATATATATATATAATATATATATATATATATATATATATATATATGATTACTGGCAGGGCATAGCTGTCTAAACACCAGAGCAATAGAGGCCCAGATCTACACACCAGACAAGACCCAAGGTGTAGGTTGTGCAAGGAGGCCCCTGAGACAGTCCAGCACATCACAGCAGGGTGCAAGATACTGGCAGGGAAAGCGTACATGGAGCGACATAACCAAGTGGCAGGCATAGTGTACAGAAACATCTGTGCAGAATATGGACTGGAAACCCCGAGATCAAAGTGGGAAACACCCCCAAAGGTGGTGGAGAACGCCAGAGCTAAGATCCTGTGGGACTTCCAGATCCAGACAGACAGAATGATAATGGCGAACCAACCAGACATTGTCGTAGTGGATAAACAACAGAGGAAAGCCGTTTTTTTTTTTTTCGAATGAATCATTCAAAATTCAGAGTTTCGGAAAAACAGGAACATGCTGGGGAGGGACCTGCAAAGGAATCGGCAGTCAGCAAAATTAGATATTTGTGTGGCAAATTATTAAATCCTACTAACAAAAATAACAAGAGCAAGAATTTTTTAAAAAAGAAATTAGCCAAATTTGGAAGCTTGAAGTCCACAAAACAGTATTTTTTCCACAAATCTAAATTTCTCTAGATGAAAATTAATTCTGAGTTGAAACATTCATACATTTCTGATGAAGCAGATGCACAATTTGACCAGGTGTTTGCTAATTGATGCTGGTTAGTCTGAAGGAGCTAATTGGGGGTCAGAGGTATCAATATATTGATTGACCCATCTGCCTCTACTTATTAAACGATAGATTCCACTGTGGTGGAAGATGCATTTTGATTCTCATTATCACTCTTACTATGGATATGGACCTGAGATTGTCCTCCTGTAATAGTAGATGTATTTATTCAAAAGTTTTGTTCAATTCTGAAGGGCGCAGTAAACAAATGTTAGTAATAATTAATTATATGTAATATTAATGTAAGTAAATATTTGTTGGATTTGCTGTCCATCAACTTTCCATCAAAGAGTTTGACGTAATTCTGCCTGTAAATGAGAATATCTTATTACAGTTTATCAATATTTAGATAAAGAAGTTTATTAAGATCTCAAAAAGTACTTACATTCATATCAAAACAGGAGCATTACAACAAAAATACATTTTTATGACAACAAATTCACAATTTCTCTGAGCAAACAGTTGATATTTTGTACAAGCATTTTATTTTTAAACACCAGTTTGTGTTTAACCCTAATACATATTTGTTACAGTAAAGCATAGCTGGAAAATAATCAATATTGCACACGTATGGTTTTATTAATATTTAACTTAATTTCTTAAAGAAGTAGAAAATCTAAACAAAGAAACGGAGTTGGGTCACAATATCAGGACAGATTAGAGGCAAATAATAACTGCAGTTTGGGTGATTTACTGAAAAAACTTAAAAGTACGTTTTAAGTAGATAATTCCTTAATATTGATTAAAGTGAAGTGAAACTATTACTTTTTCATTAATACTAAGGAATTATCTGTTATTTATTTCCAAAACATGCTTCTATATGCTTTTATATATTTAAAACTTACTTGTTGTTTAGTTTTGTCTTATTTCAAGTGTACACTGGAAAATACTTGGTGATTTAGGTTTTGCAGTGTAGCTGGAGCTGTTTTTAAATATCTTAAAATAATAAATTAAAAGAAAGCAGGATATTAAGCTCAAACAGAGAATGGGTCAGTCAACTGTTGCATTTTCCCTTTGCGTTACACATTTCAACCTCTAGGGGGCGGTGTGTGTTCACTGTTCAGTGATAGTAGCTTGTTCAGGAGGTGTGAAGTTTTCTGCAGTATGTTGGTCTCAGTGCTTTATGGAGTAGGTGCCGTTCAGGTCGCTGGACTCGAAGGCTTTGTTATCCAGGTCGTAGCTCCTGTTTTTAGACTGGTTTTCCTCTCTTCTGGCCTCGTCCTCTGCGCCGCCACCTTTTCCAAAAAACCTCTTGTACCCTTGGTAGGCTGCGGAGGGAAGCACGTACAGTCAGAGGCTAATCTGCCGGGTAAAAACATTTGCTTCAAGCTACAGGACTGCAGCTGGCAACTATTTTAATAAACGATTAATCAATTATTCTGACGATTAATCAAGTGATCTGATAAAAAAAAAAATAGCACAGTGTGCATATTTTTTATTTAACCTTTTAAAATTATTTCATACATTCATTGAAATACATTTAAAAAATGCAAATATACAAATAATTGAACTTTAGGTGAAAAAAACAAGAAAAAAATGGTAGCATTTGTAGCGAAGGATCCGTCTGCAGATAGATAAACCCTCTCTTTGATTTACCATCAATGTAGAGCTGATCTGAGTAACAAATTATAAATTATTTAATAAAACATTTTTTAAACAGTTTTTGTGTTTTTACCGTATTTGAGCTAGATGAAGCTAAAACTGCCACTTGGAAGAGTTCTGGGTTGAAAATATTTACAGATGAAGGGTTTTTTCTGCTGTTTTAGTTTATTTACTGCTCTTTGTGTTTCTATTTGTGTTTCTATTCTATTTCTATTTTAGTCTGTATCTTCTAGTTAATAATTATTTAATTACTAAGTTAGCATAGTTTATAAAGTGACAAATCGTGATTAATCTGATTGTTCCTGTTTTTTTCTATAAAATTTCTGAGATTCACTGAAACATTTCTGAGTTTTTCCGACAAAAAACTTTTGGAAAAGTCAAACATTTGACAGAAACATTAAGATGTTTTTTACACTGATCTCAAATTTTCTATAAATAATTAGTGAACATTTCAGAATTTCAACAGTCTGACATTTCTGGGATTCTTTGCAGAAAATTTCAGAGATGAAAAATTTCAGAGCTTTGTTTAGCAAATGTTTGACTTTTGGAGCTCAAAAAATTTGTTGTTGAAAAATTTTGAGTTTTGGAAAAAAAAAAAAACATCTCCGGATTGAAAAATGTAAAAATAATTAACTAGGAAATTTCTAATTGTGTGAAAAGTAAAAAAAAATAAAAAATTGCTAGAAAAAAGCGTGTAAATTTTGACGTTTATCTCAGAAGTTTTCTAGGAGTAAACATGGAAACTGCTGAATTTCCAAAGTCAAAATTTTTTGCCTTTTGGAAAGTTCCAGTGTGGAAAGTAAAAAAATATGATAGAGGAAACTCAGAAATGTTTGTCTTTTGAAATTCAAAAATGTTCATGTATTTCATTCCTAAAATTTCAGAGATTAATGTCCAATTTTTTTCTATCAAATTTGTGACTTTTCAGCCCGATTTCAAGCCAGTTTCCCTGTGAGACTCTTACCGCCCACAGCAAAGACGGCTGCAGCCAGCTGGAAGATGCTGTAGATGAGAGGGAAGGCAAACATGACCTCCAGCTCTGCGGGGGTGAAAGACAACTGGACGATGGTGCTGCACAACTGGGAGTTCTGGAAACCAGTTTCAAGCGCAATTGTTCGACATCTGAGAAAAAGAAAAAACAATGAGCAACCTCAAAAATATCGAAACCTGTCATTACTGGGTTGAACAGGAGTAGTTCACTTTCTCGCTCACCTGTACCAGGGCTGACCCACGAACCGGGCCAAAAAGAAACCAAGGAAAAACCCAATGAAGGGGTAGATGGTTCCAATTATCCACAAGGACGGCGCAATGTTCCAGGAGGATTGGTAGAGGACGCCTCCAACCACGGCGATGATGATGATCAGAGCAAAACCGGCGATGGAACCCACCTGTTGAAAACCGTCGCCAGAAAAATTCACCAAGTCTGTCCAGGAATTTCCAAACAGATCATCAGAGAGGAAATCTTAAACTTTCCCACCTTCAGGATCTTTTTGGCAAATCGAGGCCATCTGCTTTTCACATAAATCCCGACTGAGATGGGTATCAGAAGGGCTGCGAGTGTGATTCCTGAGCAAACACAGACAAAATGTCGGAAACAAATAACAACGCTTTCAAAATGTGAGTGAGATCCGAGAGCGTACCGATGCTGTCGAACGGGATCTTTATGGCGTCGCTGGAAGTCCAGACGCTGGTGTAAACGAACAGGCAGAGCGGCATCATGCCCAAAGCCAAGATGGAGGAGCAGGTCGTCATGCTGATACTGTGGAGGCGGAGATCGCGTTTAGATTTACGACACAATGAGACGATTTGATAAACTGAGGAGAAAAAGTTCAGCACTTCACTCATGTTGGCACTGAAGAACTGAGGAGTAAATATCAAACTGATGATTTGATATAAATTGCCAATTTATATCAAATTTTATATCAAATAGCCAATTTATAAATATCGATATAATTGTAATTGTCGATATTTATAAATATCGATTATAAATTGGCTCAAGTTCACAGTGAAGGGTTGAAGTAAAAAAAAAAACAGAAGCTACCAGGTACTCTTTCAAGTACTTTCTGAAGTTCACAGGATACAGAAACTCAGACCATAAATAATTATTCCAGCTTCATTTTGGCGCCCGCTCTACCATGGCGCCCGCTCTACCATGGCGCCCCATGTGTCCCATGCAGTGAATAGCCACTTTTTGACCACTGGTTCCAACTTCAAATCTTCTCCACGTTTAGAACCAGACGTAGTTTCAGGATTTATGGTCAAAAGGTCTAAAAACACAATGAATACACTGAAAATATAGAATAAAGTTCCAACTTAAAAAAAATATATAGTTCATTTGTTACATAAAATTGAGATATATTTGTCAAACTTACTGTATTTCTGTTTGTTTAACTTGACAACTTAACATATTTACTTGGATAAACATAATTTGATTACTTTTAAAAATTTGGATCACCTGTTTTCTTGTTTCATTGTACCTATAAAACTGCACAGGAAATGAGAATACATTTTAATAAAAGTGTAGAAGTAAAAAAAAAGTTCAGAGTGCAAATATCTTATTTATTTAAGTAAGACTAATACTAATAACATTTTAGTTATGAGACGTTTTGCTCCTTGTTGTAAGTGAAATGATCTGCCAGCAGAAATAGTTTCTAAAATACCAGAGACCTGTGCATTTAAAGCTGTCGTGTCTTTTAGAAGGTTTTTTATTTTATTTTACGTATTTGCTGAAACAGTCACCATGACGTCATGACAGTAAATTATGAGACAAATAATCTGTGAAACAAAATAGAGCAAACTAGAAACAACCAATCAGAGCCTCATTCACTCCCTGTTCTGGATGCTAAGGCTAGTTAGCATCGCCAGTGTTAACAGCTGATAAACAATTCTCCTGTAACTGTAAGTTGCTTTTCTGCCATTAGCACATTTAGGACTATATGAGGATGATTGACAGCGCTAAGGACCGCCTCCTGGCTCTGATTGGTTGTTTTTGAGCAGGAATGGAAATCTCTTTAGATGACAAAAGTGGCTCACAGAGAAAGTGGAGAACCTGAAACTGTCTGCAGTGAACCACCAGCCTCCACTGTAAAGAGAGAAATGCCAATCTGAACAAATATGAACATGAATTCACTATTTTGAAGCAAGCCAAGACCACATGGTGAGAGTTGCTTTACTCTGAACTGAAGTAAAAAGTAGCCGTCCAGGAATTACTCGAGTGAAAAAGTATTTGGTAAAATTTCTACTAGAGTAACTGATCAAATGATCAACCATTTAATATTTAAAAATGGACCAAAACATGAAGTGAAGTGGAAAGTTTGGTATTTTAAGAAAAAAAAAATGACAATAATTCAGATAAGTAAAAACAAATGACAAATTCAAGCAAAATATTTTTTTTCTTTCAATATAAAACTTATGAAACTTTAACAAAATCTACAGTGTGTGGTGGATTTTTGTTTAATACATGTTTGTTTTTCATTCAGTGGGTCGAAAATCCAGAAATTTCACTCAAGTAAGAGTCGAAATACTTCATAATAAAGTCACTCAAAAACCTTTCTCAATTAAATGTGACCAACTCTGGCAGTCTAATTTAATCTACAAATAAGTTGAAGTGAAAGTAATCTGGGACGTTTCCCACCTCAGGTCCATGTCTCCGTCCAGCCAGTAGCAGATGATGTTGGAGCTGGATCCTCCCGGACAGCAGCCCATGACGATGATGACGATGGCCTGCACCGGAAGCACCCCGAAAGCCAAAGACAGCGCGAAAGCCGTGAACGGCATGATGCCGAACTGGCAGAGGAAGCCGATGAAGATGCCCCAGGGCCGCTTGACGTGGCCCCACAGCTTGGAGGCGTCCACGGTGCAGCCCATGGAGAACATGACCATCGCCAGCATCACCGTGAGCACCGTGCTCAGCACCACGCTCAGGATGGCGTTGAAGCCGCTGGGAGGGACGAGGCAGTCCGGCCCGGAGCAGACGGTGGCCACAGCGCTGCAGCTCATCGTGGATAACGAGGCGGTTAGATCCCAGTCCAGAGGAAGATGGAGAAAGTGAGGGGAAGCTTCCTCTTCTCTGCTCTTTATGCTCACAGCTCAGAGAAATAAAGCTGGGAGGGATGATCAAGGAAGAAAAAGATAAAAAATTAACCTACAGTTTTATGGGGTCAGTGTCCAGAGGATGGTGGATATAAAAAGAAAGCCAACTGAAACATAGAATGTGATTGCTCTGCCTGCAACCTTTTACTGCCTGGGGTAATTAAAACTTTATTGGGCAACTTTGCTGCAGCATCATCATCCTCAGCTGCCAGCAGAGATGCTGTGCACATTTTAACCACAAGGGATTACGATGAAGAGTTCAATGTTGAAAAGTTTTGACTTTTGAAAATTTCCAAAAGTACTTATGTTTCACTTTTGGAAAAATTCCAAGTTTTTCTTTCTAGAAAATTACTGAGATTATTTTAAAAATGTCTTTTTGGCAAAAATGTACTCCTTTTTTTTTATTTTTTTAATCTACAGTTGCTGAAACATGACTTCATAAAGAAAAGCACAACTTTGAACTTTTAATCACTTAATGTTATGGTTTATTTCACTGTTAAATTTTTTTACAGTGGGTGTGTTGTTCAATCAATATATTTTCATATGTAGAAATGATTAACGTTTGTTTTTACAAGATTTGGTGAGAAAAAAGTTTAAAGTCCATCAAAACACAAAGATCAGACTCAGCTTGAGGAATTGTTGGATTTTCTCCTCAAACATGGGGATTTGGTTTGTTTGTCCTGTAAAATGAATAAGAGAAAAACTTTTTTTTGGAAACTTCATGTGACCAATAAGAAAATCATTGCTCAGCAGATTTCTTTTTAAGTTCCCTACTCCTCCCTTCCTGTTCAAATAATCAAAACATGTGACTTTATCACTATTAACTCTTTGCTGTGATACTACAGTGTTTACAACATTCTTAAAAAGCTTAAAAATATTTTGGCATAACCGCCCAGTCCTGTAAAACAAAGCTTTGCAGCATGAAAACCATCCAAGGTTTAAAAGTTGGACTGAACTGGAATTTTATTACATTTTACATAATCAGAGTTGAAGTTCTGAGCTGGTTTTTGGATTTCTCCACAACATTTAGAGCCTGATTTCACACACTAGATTGGCTCATGTTAAATTGTCAAATAGGTTTGGATTTAAAATTATTTTGTGCCCGGTTTTATCTCAATGTGTGCAGTTTATGTCTCTAAACATTGGAATTGTGTAGAAATAAAAGTTTCTGTGCAAACAAAAGACTTTAATTTACTCCTATTTTAAAACTAATTCAAAAGAAAATGTTCAACATGTAAATAACACATGACCATCAAACCGTTCAGTCGCTGTTTAATTTTCTAAATGTCGCATTTTTCAGCTCCAGTTTGAATTTTTATACCACTTTATATTCAAATAAGTACCAAATACCTGACAAAAGAAGCTTTTATAATATTTTAAAGTAATGGGCATTCAGGATTTCTTTCTTTTTATCTGTAAAACAATAAAAGTACTCTTTGTTTTGACAAATGTGAGATTTTTAAAAGCCAAATTAAAGGGCAGAAATCATTTATCAGAGCTAGAAAATCTCAAACGCATGTAAGTAAATAAAATCAAAAATCAAAAATTGAGTCAGTCCCAACAAAACAGGACAGCATTTCTACCACATGTGGCTGAAATCTCCCAGAGAAATCATTAAACAAGCAAAAACATTGCAATTTTAATGAAAATGTGTTAATTTAGTGTCTGGCAACAGAAAAAGAAACATAAATATCAAATTAATTGCGAGGACAAGCGATGCTTTTGCAGCCAGTGTGGCTGAGCTCAAAAGTTTTAATAAAATAATCTGTTTTGGACTAAAAACAAACATATTTATGTTTGCAATGATATAAATGTTTTTTTCCATCCTCCCAAAACAATTTATAGTTTCACAAGATTGTAAAACAATAAATGGAAAAAAACATGCAAGAAAGAGTTTTATAGATGTTCAATAAGTTGCACGTGGCAGGTCTGGAAACAATAAAAACATTCGATAAGACTTATATAAAAACATTAAAACGCTTCTTCAAATTCAAGTGCACCAAAGTTTTAGTCAGACGTTTAAGGGAAACCATAATCTTAACAAATCTACAGAAAGTTCCTACCTTCATGAGCAGCTGCCCTGGTCTGAAGGAGAGATGCCTAACTGTGTAGTTAAAGGACAACCAGTCAAGCAATACCTGAAAAGTTCTTTAAAGTCATGAAAACAAAATGTAGCTGCAGGTACAGAACACAATCCGTCTCCTAAACAAACCCATTCCATAAATTAAACGTGTTATATGTATGAATAGCAATGTTTACGAGTCTTTTTTTATCTTAATTATAGTTATTTTCTGCTTTCAGTGACAGAAGACGTAACATTACAGTCAGAATTTTACAACCCTAACTCTAAACATATAATGAATGAATATGGTATAAACAAAACGGAAGAGGATTTTTATTAAATAAGGAGGATTCAGTTCTTGGTTTCATTTTGCTGTAATTTGGGTGAAGATGACAAAACGGAGAAATTATTAAGTTCTGTAGCCATAAATTGACTAGAAATACTTCAAGATATTTTTAACCAGATTAAACACGATGTAAGCAAACAAAAATATTAGGTTATGTTCAAATTCCGGCATTTTAGGGACTAAATTACCATAAATAATTACAAAATACTTTTCTAAACAATGTTTTCAATTACACACCGAGTGTGTATTGTGTGTTCTAAAGTTTTATTGTGCATTTTATGGTTCAACAGACAGAAAATGGGATTAAAACAACAAAGCGTGGAAACAAACAGGAAGTCTCACTTTGACATTAACCATCGGTGCGCGTCTGAATCTTACGCGTTTTTGGTTAAAACATGTTTTTCCTCAAGTAGAGTATCCAGAGATTTTACTCATGTGGAAACCAGCCGTTTAAAAGCACAACATACAGATAATATTGAGATAAAAATGGAAGTAAAAACTGGAAATTTAGCTTCTTAAAAAAATGTTTCCAACCCGTAATGTAGAAGAAGTCTTAGACATATGAGCACAAACAATTATTTTATATTTTAATGCAACATTTTATGACTTTGTGAAAAATAGCACTTGTGTCGTTGATCTTCCTGCTCCGCTGACGGCGGCTCCTCTCTGGAGGGAAAACGTTTTCTCACTCACGGCTGTGTGCATCGTTTAACCGGCCGCCATGACGCCCTCACTCAAAGTGTGCTTCTTCAACTCGCACTTTGGTCTCACCTGTTTAAAGGTCAGTGACGCGGGCTGGCGTTGCCGTGGTTATCCGGGGTTTTAAATGGACAAGCCATTAAGTTTGTGACAGGAACATAAAATCCATAGAGTTATTGCCGGAGGAGGAGTTTTACTGGCACGCGACGTCAACGAGAACATGGCGACGGCTTCCCCAATTTCACATCATTTGCAGTAAAAACTACAATTGAAGGACAATTACAAAGCTTTCTGTGGTCAACAAACTGTTGGTTTAACAAACTGTTGGTTTAACAAACTGTTGCTCAACATCTAGTCAGACCCACAGAAGAAGGAAGTTCCTACTCAACTGGAATCAAATTAGCCTTTCAGTAATTTTAGCATTTTTGTTTTTACAATGAATATCATATTTTGTCGGACAATAGTTACGTCCGTTGTTAAACTTTTCAGAATGTTACATTCACAAGAAAGCTACCAAAATAAAAGCATATAACCTCAACAGTATAAACAAAGGTAACTTTACTCAGGTGACCTTTGCCATATTAATTTTATTCTTGGCAAAGATGTCATGGCCCTCCTCCTCATCCTATGGGGTTGCGTACAGTGCACAAAATTTCCAGTAAGCTTCATAGTTTCCACATCAGCAAAACGTTGATGAAAAGGTAAAATCAGATATAATCATAGATGAGATCATAGATGAGGGTTGGAACGTTGGTCAACTGATAAACCGGGAGCTTCATCTTTCAGCTGTTCTCTTTACCACAACAGACCAATACGCACCAATCCAGCAATTGTTCTCCATTTTTTCCTCATTTGTGAACGAGACCCTGAGATACTCAGGATGCCTTCAAACCAGCCTTGTTTACTCCGCTTTAATCCGACTCCGGTCCGTTTGCCGAGAAAGTCCGGTTCGTTTGAGGAGATGTGAATGCAGTTGAACTCTGATGTGGTTAAGTCTCGGTCCGGTTGAAGTGATCTATTGAGCGGTTCGAATGCATAGGTGAATGCCAAGTGGACTGGAGACCGCTCCAAAAGCAAGAAGTGGACTGCACGCAGGGCATTCTGGGTAAATTACAACCAAAACAAACATGTCAGCCTAGTGCTAGCAGGAGAAATGGCTCATGATCATACAACTGCTAAAATCTGATCCCACTCCATTTTGGTTTACATTTTGTGAAAAGGGAAGTGGCGCTCAGTATCTTCTTCAGAGATTTTTGTGATGCTTCCTTCGGCGGCTCTTGGTGCAGCGCCCCCACGGGTGAGGCGGGGAACAGGTTTTTTGGCTAGTTTGGGTCGTTTGGTGCAGTGCGGTGTGAAAGCAAACCACAGCAGCTAAAATGCAACAAATGTTGCAAACTTGGTTCCAACTGAACCGAGTTTACAGACTATCAGTTGTGAAAACATCCTGAAACGCTTCCGGGTTGGGGCAGGACTTTGACACGCAATTCTTTTATGGTTTAGGACAATGGAAAATCCTCATGGGCTGATTTTCATCCCTCCTTGAAAAGAGTAATATTTCATCACAAACACTTAATTTTACAGTGTTTAAGTTACTCTAAAGATTTGATCCCAATTCATTTTTCCACATCAGTAAAAAAAAACCTTTATTTCTTTTCCTTTAAGTTTAATCCAGCCACATTTCAAACAGAGACCATAAAACACATTCACATTGCTATACAGTGTGACTCATACCATTATATGGATGAACCTCCAGAGGGGTCCAGGGTCAAGCAGAAAGTGTTTTTCTTTACTTTGTCTGCAGTCCTCCTGTTTCCTGAGAGACAATCCAGTCAGTTGGATAAATTCCCAAAATGTTTTATCTCCTTTTTCTCGTTTTATTGTG